TGAGTGAATTTGAATAGTTTCTTTGTGTGTTTGCGCTTTCTACACTACCGTGCTTCCTTTCAGGTGCTAAAAGGATAGACAGACAGATGGACAGAGGGTCTGAATGTCCTCACTTTATGTCTGCTGGGTGTCTACCTCCTGTTCTGCCATAATATCATCTGTTATCTTAAGCGTGAGTGTGTACATGTAGGTGTGTGTGTGTGTGTGTTAGGATTCACCAGGCATCACACAGGGCCTCATTAGTACTATACTTTAAATCATCCAGTCTCCATTGTCTTGTCATTAGCTCTTTAGAAAGCAGATGTTGGAGGAGCCCCTGTGTGTTTCACAGCATTGCAACAGGGACAACAGGGCCAAGCAATGAAATGCTGCCTGCTCGAGACATCAAATCCACAGCTATTAGACCAGGATAGGAAACACACTCTCCCTCTCTCTCTCTTTCTCTCTCACACACACACATCACTGTCCAATCTCTCTTGTTGCTGCTTGTCTAACCCAGCTAGGCTAACACACAGGCCCATTTACAGTAATGAGTTTGTCCTGAAATATTTAGCAGCGTATCCCCAGGCTGACGCTTTAAAACCACTTAGAGCATGTCAAGTTAAAGTCAACATTATTTTAAAGAGGGTACCTAACAGTCTGCTTTAAAGGAAACATAATAAATTAAACAGGTGCATAATCTAAGATCACAATGGTGCTGAGAACTATCTCATTAATACCCAGAGGAGGCCACTGCTTCACTGTTACAGTGCAACCAAGTGGCCCTCTACATTACTTGGATTTTGACTCATGATCTTGACTGGCTACTTTATCACTGGCTTTGTAAGAGGCACAACTCTTGTAAAAATGTATCGGTCACTTTTGTCTTTGCTTTGGGAAATATGTGGATATAATATCTTCCTAAAATATGCTGTGTTAAACCATCCAGATTTCAGAACGCAACAACTTTTTCCTCAACCTAAAAAATGCCTATGTGATTAGCCTACACAGAGGGAATGAATAATACATGACTTCCCAATCTCCTCGACGACCAAATATTACTTGTTTTTGTTGTTGTTTTGTTGAGTAGTTACCATCATTCAGCAGTATTAAAGTACCCTGAGCAATGAGTCAATTACAACCCTTTAAAAAAAAAAAAGACAATATTGTGACACTGGAGCAGATCATATATCTTAGCTTATTGCAAATGCCATGAGTTCAGCAAACTTAAATACTCCGATCCTAAAGATGCATTTAGTGCACATGCACAAAAAGACTGAATGTTGGAAAATGATTACTGTACAGAGGATAAAAATGAGACAAAAGTAAATAAATTAATATGATTTAAACTGGATGAATGCAAATGATTAAAACTGGTTGATATATGTTGCAGTAAAAAAAACAAACAAACATGGAAAATCATTTCCTTTGAGAGGTTAGTACTAGAAATTGCTTTTGCTTTTACACCACTTTTTAACTCATAGATAAATGATCATTTATCAGAATTATTGTTGATTACGTTTTCCAATGTCAGTTTGTCAACTGGGGCTCCAATAAAACCTGGTTCTAACTGATAGAAGCTGGATCATCATGGTTTACTCCCTTAAACATACCCAGGGTCGCACATCTGTAAATCCCTAATAAACTGGGTCCCACCTCAGAAGCTGAGAGAAGTGTAATAAAAGATGAAACCCACTGGGCCAGCTTCCTCCTTTAAAAGGTCTGGAAGCGACTCAGAAAAGTGGCTGTCAGACTTAAGAAAAAAAGGCATGTAATGACAATCTTCAGATGGAGAAAATGAACTGAAAAAAAATGATGATGATGATGATGATGATTATTACTATTACCTCCCCTAAAGAGGTTTTTTTTTTTTGGTAGCATTTGCAAGCCCAGGTCATTCTGTCTGTAAACACGGCAGTTTGAAAAGTTTTGTATGAATCCTGATTAAACTTTGTAGTGTTGTAGAGTTGAGTCATGTTAACAATCTATTAAAATTTGGCTTACATTCACCAAGGTCCTCAAGGTCAACTTAATGATTCACTGGTTGAAAATTGACAAAAAGCCTTATAACTTATATAAGGCTTTATATAAACTATAATCCTTACAAGTGTTGTGTGTATCGTAAATCTATAGAAATTACAACATAAAGATTTAAAATATCACGTTACATTTGACTGCAGACCTCTCCTTCAAGGTCAATAGACTGATCTGAAGGTAAACGTTATATTGCTATACAGAGCTATTTAAAATGGTTTCTTAGTGCCATTGATTGAATTGACAACATAATATAAAAAAAAAAATTTAGGGAATGATATACGGGGATTCTAAATATCAAGTTACTTTGGACCTCTGACCTCTTCTTCAACATCAAATAAGGTCAGACTTTCAATGCGTTTTATCTCTATAATCATGCTTAAAATTCTGCTGTCTTTGTGGGTATTGACAACATTTAGGAAATGATACTGAATATCACATTATAGTTTGCATTCAATATCATGTCACATTTGACCTCTGATAATAATAATAATAACAATAATGATAATAACTGCTGTTCTGGATCCCAACAAAAACACTATTCAGTGCATTATAAATCATATAAAGCATATTTTATTCCCAGTAGAAAACAGGAAATAACACGTGTTTAAACTGGTCTAATGTACAATTTACAAGTTAATTTTGAATTAGATGGCAAAAATCTCTTTAAAAAAAAAAGTTGGGATGGGGGCAACAAAAGGCTACCAAAGTAAATGATATTAAAAGGAAAAAAGAAAATTTGCAACCAGCTTGGTTAACTGGTGACAGTTCAGTAACATGAATGGGTATAAAATGAACATCGGAGAGAAGCAGTGTCTCTCAGAAGATGAGCAGAAATTCACCAATCTGCAAAGAACTCTGTGTACAAATTGTGAAGTTTTAGAGAACTGTTCCTCGCATGCCACTTTAGCTCAGTGGGTGAGCAGGTGACCACACGCCAACTCACTGGAGTGCTGGGCACAGGTCCAAGTTTGAGTCCAACCTGTGCACCGTGTCCTAACCCTCTCTCTCTCTCTACTTTCCTGTTTATCTTCACTACTCCACAATCCAATACTTTTTTTAATGCCCAAAAAAGAACAATGTTAACTGCAAAGGTATGTCTGCTGTTATGGAGGTGCATTAGTACCTATAGAATTGGCAGCTTACACATCTAGAAAGGCACCATTAATTCTGAAAGGTAAATACACATTTTAGACCAACATATGTCCCAAACCCTAACCCCAAGAAAACCACATACTGCAGATATGACATCAACAACATGACTTCATAATAGAAGAATCTGGGTGCCGAACTGCCTGCAGACCAGGCCTTTCAGCAACTGAAAACATTTGGCATATAATGAAATAAAAAAAATACAAGAAAGAAGACTGTTGAGCCAGAATTCTCTGTCAGATAAGAATGGGACAACATTCCGCTCCCAAAAGTCCAGCATCTCTCATCATTTCCCAAACATTTATGGACTGTTGTTAAAAGAAGAGGGGATGCTACACATGAACATGACCATGTACCAAATTTGTCTGAAATGTGTTGATGTCATCAAATTCAAACTGACCTTTTCGTTCTTCTTTAAATGATACATTTCTCAGTTTCACATTTGATATGTTTTCTATGCTCTTTCATAAAACAAAAAATGTGGGTTTATGTGATTTACAAATCTTTCCATTCTGTTTTTTATTGACATTTCACACAGTTTTCCGATTGTTCAGATTGGGTTTGTAAATGTTACAAGACACATTTCCAGGATTCAACAGATAAAAGCTTATCACCGAAAGAGTTGAGCTGGTTACTGTCACTTGCTCTTTATGGGGGGTGTTTGGCCAAGCACTGACACATTCTGACCTTCCAGATCAGACTTTTTTTTTTTTTACACATCCTAATAATTTCATCCATACAACAAAAGAAAAGGAGAAACACCGCCTATCATATCTATAAAACCTCATCTAAAAACAAAATAAGCACCTGTAACCAGTTAACACACTAAAACCAAACTGTGCCAAGACATTTATCAATTAATGATTCTTCCCCTCGCTATTAATGATAATTTTATGATTACAAAGCAAAGACTTAGCCATATTGTTGTTTTGATAATGAAAGAAAACCACAAAGAATACAGACAGGCCCTGCTGAGACTCTTGACTTTTACCTGCTTGTCGTAGTTCCTGCCATACAGCCACACACAGACCTCTAAGCTCACAGCATGCAAGGAAGTGGTACTGCGTTTGCTTATTTTGACAGTTCATCTGTATCTTTAAAAAGCCGTCTCGTGTGTCGTATAAAACAAAAGAAACCCGAATGAAGCCACTCGACTTACTCAGCGTTGCATGTTATGCGTGTCCTACCTTACGAAAGCTCTTACTTAATCCATCCGGTGTTAATCCATTACCGGCGGGGAAAATGTGACCGACATCATTTGTAGTCACTTCATGCTGATATCTGTCTGCGACAACTATTTGTAGCTAATAACAAAAATCGAGACAATTCAACAGCCAATAAAAATATAATATTGCATTACTATGACAGGATATCCACCGCTGTCACCAAATGTTGCACTAAGCATTTTATGTACACCGTTTCCCGGGCAGCCGATATGGCAGAAGTCGCATGTCACTTTTATTGGTTATCTATCGATAAAATATCCCCGTTTCTCAACCACTGCTGCACAACATCTAGTTATTTTTTGGTGATTTCCGGGGACTGAAAGCGTCCGTGACAACAACCCGGAAGTAGCTCAATGAAAACTTCCGCTCGGTGGAAAATTCCAACTGAGGAATCAAATGGTAGGCAAACGCTTTCGCCTTCGGGAATTAATAGCATAATTTTTACATATCAAAGATGATATTTTATTTAAAACATATATTTAATATATTCTGACGTCTTTTTTAAATCAAGTATATAGCCGTTTGTTATTGAGAATGCATGTTAAAAATGTTAAGATATGAGAGATCCCCCCCTGTCTTTCCAAAACAATTGGATTCCATAAAGCTGCTCAAACTTGCAATTTGGGTGGTGTACTCGCGTGTAATTTTTCTCATTAAACTTATCGTTTGGCCGTTATATTGAACATTTATCTACACTAAAGAGCGAATGCGCCATGGATTTTTGTTTGGGACGGTTAATGTAGCTTCGGATAAAGTAGCCACACACTGGTCGAAGTTTATTCACTTTGTTGGATGTTTTTGTCAGTGACAAGAGTTTGGCGCGCCCGGGTGTAATTGGAAGTTACCACTGGTGGTATGACCGAGGTACTTGATCAGCTGTGCCATTAAAACAGTTGACATTGCTTACTGAATAGAAAAGAACCAATATTTTTTTCTTGTTAGTTAGTCTACTCTGACGCTGCAAAGCAAATGATATGCCAGCAAGCCTTAGTTAATTATCAACTGAATAAAAATTTGTCACGATCTGTGTAAGTATTGACTTTGTTTGATGAATTTTGTAAACGCTAATATCCTTGATGTGCAGTTTGAACAGTACATTGTTCTTCCTGATGTACCAAGAGTGAAAGCTTATCGTGAAAACGATCTAAGTCATCTAGTCAAACAAGAACTGCAACATTAGATTGGCCAATGAATGATGCGATCTTTCTTAACTTATTGTCTCCTACAGTTTAACGAAGTACTTCATTTTGGCTCTTCTTCAATTTCTTCGCGAAGATGGAGACCTGCACACACGTCTTCCAGATCTCTGGGATCAAAATCCGCGATGAGAAGAGAGTTCTGATCCAGGGAATTCAGCAGCTGGGTGGGAAATACATTGGTGGCTCAGTGAGTAAGATTGAGATCCCTCAGTAGATTTTAGGGAAATGCCACGTGCACTTGTGCCCAAGCTGAAGGGTTGCAGCTTGTGAATGATTTCATTTTTCTTCCTGATGCTTTTAGTCTTTATTCAGTCTATGCGATGTAAGAAAACATAATAGTTAGAGACTAATCATAAACTAAAGTAATGATGACAGTGTTTAGACACCAATCAAAAAGGAAATGCACTTGTTCCTAAAGTAGCTGACTGAATGAATTACTTGCTGTGCTTGCTGTCAATCATTAATTAGTTCTGTGGAAGTCTGTGTTCTGTGTCTTTATCTTGACAGTCCAAGTAAAGTTTTCAATTGTATTTTTATATTTATATATTGCTTGGATTATCCCTCTACACAAATGAGAACAAAACTATTAGTGTATATGTAGAATTTCAATTCAAGTGTTGTTAAACAGCAAGGATCTTTTTTTAATACAGCTTTTCCAAGCGTCCTAGTTTTATTTTGGATCTTATTTCACACACAGAACCAAAATTATTGCACAAAACCCCAAAACTATCAGGGTTAAAATTATTAGACCTTTGTGCAGGTCAGTCAATAGCGCTAACTTTGACCTTTGGTTTGCGTCGTCTTTGTGTTGAAAAGACGAAGCAGCAAACCAGACCCAGTTCTGCTGCTGACTGCTTAAGGTTTTCTTTCAAAATCTTCATATCCTTTTTTTCATGATTCCTTTCATGGAGATGAGATTCCCACTTCAGGACGCACTGAAGCACACAGCATAATACTCCCACCACCGTGTTTCACTTTGGGGATAGTGTTCTTTGGGTTGTATGTCTCACCCTTCTTTCTCCAAGGATAAGCAGGGTCTCTCTGGCCAGAGAGCCCTGGTTTTGTCTCATCTGACCAAAAGATGTGCTTTCAGCATGTGCAGTCTTTCTGCAAAAGTGGAGTTTTTCTTAATCTGCAACCTCGCAGTCCATTCTTGTGCAGGTGTCTAATGATTGCCTTCTTTGAGTATACAATTTACAACTTGGCTAAGTCATTCACTAGTCTCTTGGAAGTTGTTCTGGGGTCTTTAGAAACATGGAAACACTGTGATAACTTTGTATCCATCTCCTACTTTGTGCATCAACAATTCTTTTTCTCAAGTCTAAACTGTTTTCTTTCTGTTTTTGTCATGAAGCTCAAACTCTTGCTGAAGTTTTTATACTGTGTGTAAGTTGGAAGGTAGCTCTCGGTTTTCACATGATTTTACAAATTTTGAGCAAAGCTAGTGTAGAAATGCTGTTAAAGAAGCACTAGGGAAATTTCAGACAAAAACTATAAATGTCAAAGGGGAGCTGATTACTTTGCCCTGATTTGCAGCTAAATCAGATGGTACAGCCTAGCATCCTCATCTATTAACTTACATGATAAATGTGAATAAATGAACTGGGGATCCACCTAAAAGTGGAACACTGTTAGTTGCACTGAACATCTGTTGTTGATTTCAAACTGCAACTGTTGCGTTATTGACAAGCTCCACTTACAAAACTGTCTTGTGATGATTACATATAACCACCTTAAACTGCCTTCTTATAGGTATATCAGCACGCTTGCACCCATCTCATAATCCCTCAGGTGTTGTCCAGCGAGAAGTTTTTGGCAGCTTGTGCTGCAGGTGAGTCATGATGGCTGTGAATTTCAAGTCAGTGGATCTTTGTTTTCGTTGCTATTTTAGCGTACATACATTTAACGTAGCCATAAAATGCTTCATTGTTTCTTAAGTTTTTTAAGTCCTAGAGGTAACATAACACATTTTATTGAATTTCTTCCCTCTCGCTGCTCGTCTCTTGCTAGGAAAGTGGGTTGTAACTCCCGACTACGTGCTGGACAGTGTTAAGAATGGCTCCTGGCTCGCAGAGGAAATCTATGAGGTGGCCATTTCCACAGGTTCCTCCGCTGCCTTCTACCCTGTCAAACAGTGGAGAGAGAAAGTGGCCAGTGGGAGACTGAAAGGGGCCTTTCAGGGCTGGAGGGTGCTCCTTATGGTCCAAGGGTCCACACGCAGAGCAATGTTCAAACGGTTACAAACCCTTGTTCTCTTTTAACCCATGTTCAAATAAAACGAGTGTCTGGTTAATTAATACATTTTTGTTTTGTTTTTTATTCATTCACAGACTCCTAAAAGCAGGCAGGGCTGAGGTATATCACTGCCCTCCCCCCTCTTATGCCTCTATCACTCATGTCATGGCGAAACCTGTTACAGAATCCTCAAAATCCCACAGTGCTCCTTGTTACCCTGTGAGCCACATAGTCCAGCACCTCTTTGGGGTAAGTCATAAGAATGCATGTTTTAAAAACATATAAAAAAATAATAATAATTTAAGCAACATATTTAAAACTGATTATTATTATTAAAAAATTATTATTCTTTTTTTATTTTCTTTTGGGGGGGTGGTGATTTAAATATTTTATATGGTCTTCATTTATATGTGCACATACTAGTCTAATCTTTATTAAACAGTTCATGTTAAAAAATTATCTTGTAGACTGAAAGCCTATTGTTTGGGGGTCAAAGCAATCGTGTGGATATGAATTTCAACATGACAGAAGAGCAAGAGGCTCATCCAGCAGATGTGAAGGAGAATTTCTCTACTCTGGAGGCGGAGCTTAAGACATATATCAAACAAGTGGTGTGTATTTGGGTTTTTTATTTTTTTTATGAGTGGTTTTGTGTTTTCTTGACATCATTTTCTTTTCTTTCTTTTTGTTGCTTCTAGGGCCAGCCAAGACTGTGCTTCCTTGAATATTTGGGCTACCATGACCCCTATAGTCCCCTGGCTCAGGTAGATGTGCAGACATATCAACCCCCACCCTTGATCACTACTGTACATCTCTACAATAACTATGTGTTTCATCAAGAGGATCAGGTCATTTAATTTCCTTTATGTCATGCATTTCAATGGAAAGTGACATCTAGAGCAAGGGCGCATCATACCCAGGTCACAATTTAACCACCACTGTCAGCTGATCTGAGAGTTTTGATTGGCAGGCCTATTAACAATACTCTCCACTGTCCTGTCCATACCTTACCCAAGTGGATATTGCTAATAGAAGTGCTCATGTTTTTCCATATGCCATTTACCCATAACAGACAGTCAGAAATGACCCCCAAGAACTTTTAAAGCCCATTCACTTCCTATTTCCATTACCCTTCTGCCCTCAACTCTTTCTGCCATCCATCTCTCTGAGTGCTGTGTTTCCTTCTGCTTTCCATATACCTCTTGAATTTTATCATTGTTCTTGTATTTCTCCAGGCAACAAAAATGGACTTCAGCAATGTTGGCTGCATGATAGAGTGTGGCCTCTTCACTGAAGCCTTGGACTCAATCAGAAGTGGTGTGTACCCAGGCCTCCTGCCACCGGCGCCGCACCTGATCTCCCTCTTAGAATACGCTCAGCAGGTAGGCATTACCATACTGCAGAAACTCCCACCTACTGCTAGTGTAATATCCTCAGGGGCTGCACAAAAGTAGAACTTGCTCTACATTTTTGAGTGTGGATAGCTGGCTTTGAGAGGTCTTTTTATTGGTTTTACTGTCTTTTGATTAAACTGTAATTTAGAGATGTAACATAATTAATTTAGTTATTGTACCTTTTTTTTGATAAGTAATTTTGTCAGTGAAATATCAGATCTCATCACATCCTCACATTTCCATCAAATATTTAACTTTATGTGACCAACAGTTCAAAATCAGAACAAGAGCGTGCACAGTGATAGCAAACAAACAAACATACTGTATTTACTCTGCATCATCCTGGACCAGCTGGAAATAAGTTTTACTAATTACTTTACTTAACTTTTACTTATTTACTTATTTAAAAAGAACAAAACAAAAACTTAAATTATTGTTTGGCTCTAATTACATTCTTGGCATCGTCACATCCATTATTTAAGAAAATAAATAAATTGTAGCTTCACTGAATTTTAAGTCTGTATGTACATCCCCGCATTCAAACCAACTGGAACTCAGTTGCTGTGTGCTGATTATGTCACAGGGTAACGCCACATCTGTCTTCATGAGAAATTTCCAGCAGGTCCTTGATAAACTGCTTATTACCAACCCTCCCTGGATGGCTCCCAAGTCAGTGAAACAGTATTTTACTCAAGTGCTGCAGTGTCCTCGGTGTAAGAAGGGCTTGTGGTCTTTTCTAGAGACAGCCATCAGGTAATTATTCCTGCTAATAATTTTATACTGCAAAAATGAAGAGTAACCATGTGATGTGTAGTAAACAAACACTCTAGTAGGTAGCAGTTGTGGTAATCTTACAAATATTTTATCTTCCAGATATTCTATGTCTAGTGAAGAGACCTGTCACGCACTTCCTGGACCTGGCCTTCCAACATTGTTACACTTCCACTGTTACATCCTGACTCTCTTCCTGAAGATCTTCCAGGGGGAGCTCCACTCAGTCACTGCCGGGTAACAGTTTAAATAAACTCAGTTGGAGAAAGAACCATTTTTTATTTATTTATTTTAAATCAATCAGTTTAAATCATCACACATGTTGGGAGAATCATTGCTTGAAGTTGCCCTTTCTGACATGTCCACTTCGACCGTGTTCTCATTATTATATCTCAATATAATTAGAATTTAAATGATTGGTTGGGCACTCACACATCATGCAGGAGGCAGAGCTGCCTTACTCTTACAAGGACTCTGTCGAACACTATAAAGACTTTGTGCTAGATAGCTGGCAGGGTAAAGTCTGTTTAATGTCTGATACAAATGATTAGGACATTTGTGTTCTCACACGCAGCTCCTATGGGTAATGTCTAGTAAAGTTCAGGGTTGCAGCGCATGTGTGAAAACAGCTTTAGAGTTGATTTCTTCTATTCTGTTAGTCCACAAAGCTCATAATCTGTATTGCAAGGACATATGTGTAGAAATTCTTAACAATCACTGTAGTTTAGCTGGAGTTGATACAGTAAGGTTTTTAAGTATTTGGAAAATTACACATATTTTTGCAATTTTGCTTCATGCTGCCACAAATGAATCTACATGTGATTGAAGTCCAGACTTTCAGATTTAATTCAAGGTGTTCAGCAATTGAATTCTATTAGCTGTTTAGGAATTACAGCCTTTTTCCTTTTTTTATTTTTTTATTCATAGCTTCCTTTTGTTTTTTTAGTTGTTAATTTTTTTCCTCCAGAGGCTGAAAAGAAATTGAGTAAACTAGCTTAATTTCAAATTGATGTTGTTTTTATTAATTATTGGGGGTTTTTTAATACTTGGATGAAAATCCTATGTAAACAACGACCAAGTCTTGAACCCATGAACTTCACCAAATGTTGTTTCCTCCCATGACATGTTCTGCCAGGTCTGTACTGTTTTTCTTAACCAAGGAAAGGATTATGCAATCATCTACCTTAGCTGTCTTCTGTGGTCTTTTAGGACCTTTGGTGCTTCTGAGCTTGTTTTTAAAAAATGTACTACACGTAATGTTTTTGCTCCCTCTAAGATTTTTTTTCCTGCTTAATGTAGACTTCTGTCACCTGCTGGGGTTAGGTGACAGAAGGGTTAGGTCATTGAATAACGAGGGAACGGGCAACAGGTGCCATGTGACCTTGAAACTGCTTGCCACTCAGTCGTCCAGTTACTTTTAATACCAGGGGGCTATGTATAAAATTTATTGTAGTTCTTATTCAGATAATTAAGTACTTTGGTTGTACCCCCATGAATAAAAGCTGAAAGTCTCTATTTTAATAATTTCTTATTCTTCCTTAGAGAGTTTGTGCAGCTCCAAGGAGCCCCTCCAGCATCAGCATCAGGATCTTTGCTCTATAGAACCTTCTGGACTGTGTGGGAGCGCTCCACCCTCTTGTCCAGTGCTGTAAAACAACTAATGCAGCTTTTGATACAGGCTGCCATGACTGTAATTTACTTTGATATTCTTATTGGATAATGTGCTCAGTCATTCAGAATGTTTTATTTTGATCCATAATTGACAGCAGATTGTAGTCTGACCTCATGACTAAAGTTACTATTGCTCATGGAGCTCGCTAGGTTCAAAATGTTGTTTATCTTTTCTAAAGGAGTACGCCGAGAGGGATGAGAAGCAGAAGTTGCACTTGGCAGACACCCTACTGGATTTCCTGTCTGTGTTGGTGGAGTTTTGGTGTCAGCAGCATTTCAAATTAAACCAGACACTAGTGGATAAAGGCCTGAAAGACTTGTCAGAATATCTTGCTGTCATTAGCCAGGGTAAGTGATAAAAACTGAAATTTGAGAACAGGAAGCATATTCAGAAAAACAAAACTTCTGTTATGTAAATTCTGTCCTAAGTTCAAAGTTTGGTTTCTGAATTTCATTTTCTTTTACTTAAAAAGTGGTAGAAGTAGTTTAAGCAGTTTAAAAACTTTATTTAGCAGAATTGTCTCTTTTGTTTATTCGTACGGTTGGACACGAAGTTTTCTTTATTCTAAAACAAAAATCTCTTCTAAAAAGATGCTCTCTTATCTTCTGATTTTCCTCTGTGGTTTTTCCCCATAGATTTATCTCCAAATATTTTGGTAGAACTGGTTATCAGGGTTCGCTCTACCAGGCTTAAGTTGATGGTGGCTGATGCCATATTCAGGAATCTCTGCTGCAGAAATGGATGCACTATGGGAGATGAACCTCTGTCACTCAAGAAAATGGTGCGTTTCTTGTTCCCATGTTTCCCTGTCCTTTATTCCTTGTTCCGTTTGGCAGATTTTGTCATTTCTACTTCTGGTACATTTGTGATCATCTTCCATTTTTACCGGAAACTCTGGAATTCACAGTGGTTTCTTGAGCGTCTGATATAATTGTACACGAAAAAAAAAAAAAGCTTTTCTCTCTCTTTTCCCCCACTTTAAGTTAGTGTTAGAAGCAAAACACACAGTTGGTCTGCATTAGTTAATGACAGTTTTAATAAACTGGTATAGATTACATTATAGATTACATTTGCCCTTATGTGCCATGAAATGATTTCTGATGTCGTCTAACCAGAATATTATATTGCACTAGAACATCTGGCTTTCTCACTCTCCATTGGTGGCTTTGTGCTTCCTCAATTCCCCAAGGACGCACATATCAACTTGCAGTGTAAAGGCACTGTCTGACCTTGTGTATATCTGTGTGACTTCTGACAGGTGCTTTTCTACCTGCCTGCTCTGGGAAGTTTGGCTCTGAGTCCCAGTGGTACTCGCCTCAGGACTGAGCCCAGCTCACACAGCTGCACTAGTCAGGGGACCGACTGCAGGTCAGTTACACGCAGCTGTCTGTCTGTGCTACCGTTAAGTCCACATTGTGCATTCTCACAAGAGCCTGGAGCAAAACATGGAGGGGCTTACACACAGAGGTGGAGGCTGCACAAATGTCTGGTTTAAAATTCCAGTATGATGTTCAAATGTTTAACTTTGCATAAGCTATAGCACTTCAATGTCTTGTATTAGATTTACATTTGCCAAACTTCTTGAAATGTATTAATTTTTGAAGATGAGCTTAGAGATTCCCAGTGGCAGTGTGTTTAGTTAACTTTTTCATTTTTTTGACTTCAGAAAATTGTGACTATCAATCATATCAATGTCTAGTTGTCTAACCTTGTTTAGAGCCTGCATATCTACTAAAGATATAGCAGAAAGCATGTTGCTAGTAATCTTTTAGCAAAAAATACACATGAAAAGCTGTCACCCTGTAAAGTTGGTTATTGTACCATGTTTGTTGGCTTGTCTGTGTCTAAAATAGCTGATGTAGTCGACCAGCAGTTTTCTGTGCCTCCATTGTCTGGATTCTTCTCACATAGTTCACGGTAGACAGCATAGCATTAGGCCAAACAAGTGAAAATGAACAGATCCTTTGAGAAATGTGAGCGAAAAGGAACAAAGGAACACCTGGTGAAAGGAGAAGTGTGTGGAGGTGAGGAGCAGAGATGCATGAATGGACTAAGGGAAAGCTGGAGACAGACAAATAGAGGTCAGACGGAGTGAGAGGAGTTGGCATGTGATGGGTCGTGCCCAGGTCTGATCCTATCAGTGTGTGCTGGCTGACAGAAGGGGTGCACGGGGAGGTTAAACACACACAGAGAGGGAGCCGCAGATAGACTTGGGTATCCCATCAGGCCTTTGTGTCTTCCCATACGACCACCAGCTCTCAAGCCCCCCCCCCCCCATCTCTCTTGGTCTACTCTTGCATATTAAATCCATCTCTAACTGCAAACGCACCCACTTTATCCATACCCCATGTCAGACATCTGCTGTTTCACCAGCAGGTAGTTGGCCTGGAAAAGGGCAGGAGTCACCAGGGAGCAGGTTCATGTGAAGGCTACTGGTTCATGCACAGACCTTCTCTTCCCCTCCATCCCTACTCTGTTTCTACTTTCTGCTTTCCCTGTATTTGCAAGTGGTTTACTTTATTTTGACATAGGCATGTGAAGAAATAAATGAAACAAGGAAAGGAATCTGTGTGGATGAGATAAAGAAATGCCAAAGGGCATGTAAAATCATTTGACCCTAAAAGAAAGAATGAAATCAAAATGACAAAGCCTGTGATGAGCTGAGAACAGAAACCAAGACGGGAAGCTTGTTTTCTGGTTTTCATGGTTAAATTCATGATATTGTACATAGCTGCAGTGATCTTGACAATCTTAATCAATTAACACATTTTATGTTAAAGCGTTTATGCATATGACACACTGCATATTCTATACAATAGCCTACATGATGAAAAACTGCTAAGAAGTAAAAAACAAAACAAGAGGAAAAACACATTATAGATGATATGAAAAATCAGCTATGTTTGTTGTGAGTGCTCAGTCGTAAGACAGGAAGGACTGGTTGGTTCGTCGTCGACCGGGTGAGTTGCCAGCTCTCCTCCCTGCTATCAGTCACCTCTCACTTTCAGAATGCATTAGTCTGTTTTTGATTGACTCAAAGATGTTGTAGTTCTATTTGAGATATTGTGAGCGTGTTTCTTCCGCATCAACAGACAGGCCAGCAACAGGGCATGTGTCCAAGTTACACCAAGCTGACAGGGTGGCTGATTGACCGACTGCTTAGAGGGCCATTTGATTTGCCAGGTGGCTGGTTGCATGGCATGGAGTGCTGTTAGCAGAAGGGAAGCTGTAATTAAACTGTGGTTTTCTTTGTGCTGGCTTAGTCATACTCTTTCCGTTGCTGTAATCGTTTCAGCCCACTTGACTATAGTGTTTTCTTTCTTTCTCTGACCAGACCTCTCTACGAGTCCCAACTTCCAAATATCAGCTAGGGTTTTAAGAAAAGCCTATAAAAGGATCAGCTAGATTCAATAAGATTTTTATAGTGAAGACAGATAAAAAGTAGGGGGGAAGGATTTCTTTTGCTATGATTAGTAAGAAAAATCCCATAAATTGCTTTCTTTCAGCACTTGACCAGCATTTCTGCATTATTTAAATGACTGCTCATACGTTTCTTTAGTGATAGCCTCCAAGGGCACACGCTGCTGCAGGCTCTTGATTGATAGCTGGGCTGCTGTCAGCAGACTGGCCTCCTAAAGTAGACCATGAGGAAAGAAGAGACCGGGGTGTATACAAGCCAAGTACTGTCAACTTCCACTGCCTGTATGGGCAGGGGACACTTGGGTGAAGTGGTTAAATGTGAGCCACCCTCAACATAGACACTGTTATGGAGTCACTTTCTCGCGCGCACTCTCTCACACATGCACACAGAGCTTGTCTCATCTCTTCTCAGCCTTGTCCTTGCTAATAACAAGCAACGTGACAGGACGTGTGTTTCCTCCTCACTGCTGGGAGCTCCTTCCTGGCTTCTGAACAACCCAATTACCAGGGAACAAGCCTCTTCCCTGTAATACGGATGGCACTCCACTTCAATGCAACGCATGCGCATGTGCACATACATATACACACAAGACACCTGTCAGGCTTCACGCAGGCAGATCTTCCATACCTACACACAGGACTAGTGACAGCCCACAGCTATTAGCACGCCACTACTTTGAAGAGGCTTCACTTTCTTTTACTAGTTATTCCTCCTAATGTGCTTGCTCACATTGAATCCTTCGTCTCTGCGTTTGAGGCGTTAAGTGGGAGGAAAAGTGTTTTGGAGACAGGAATAGAGGATTAGTTGTGTGAAGTGTGTGTGTGGCCAACACAGTAGGGGTTTGACAGATATTGTCAGATTTCATATAAGATGATATCGTGCCATGAGGGATTCATTTGCTAATGGCAATTTTCACAGTACAGTGATGCTGGTTCCACTTTCTCCACCACTGGGTCTCCCTGCAGTCATGCTCAAATGGTCAATTGCTCTTGTTTACATGAATCATGGGTAATCACTTTTTTTTTTCTTTTTTTTTAATTTGAAGAAATTTATAAATAGAGCATGTGTGTATTTTCTCATTAACCCTTCTGGGCCACATTCTTTGTCTCCATACAGACCTCAAAACTCTTTGGAGAATGAAACCTGCTCGGAGAAAGAGAACATCCCCAGAGGTTTGAACAGAGTCAACGCAGTAGGTACAGCATGCACCCATTGTTCAAGAGCATAGCTTCACATTTGCAAGGAGTGGACTTTTAATGGACTGATGCACTACAGTAGGTCATCAGGAACATGATAGCGCTGTCATCACTTTCGGTTTAATGAAGAGCACATAATGCATGGCAAAAGTGATTGATTTGCATCGAACCACACTTCCTTCTAGTCAGCTTTATGAGCAGCTTGACTGCATAAGCGGGCCTGCTATGTATGTTTGTGGCAGACTTTGGACCACAATAACGCCTCAGTGCTGTGCCTTCTCTACTTGTTATATCTGCGTTGAAATTCTAGACTACGCTTTTTGTTTTGTTTTGCTTTTTCGTCATGTCTTTTTCACCTTAAAAAAACTGAACAAAAAAACCAAAACCCTAACAGATAAATGGATAAATCGCAGGGACAGAAATAATGGGGGGCAAACACACAAAACAATAACAGATATTAGTACGCACAGTGTGGCTCAGATCTCCATTTTGGAGACATTAAATGCAGCAATTAGGGTAGCACTTTTAAATATACAGCGGCTGCACTGGTGGAACTTCCTGCAATTAGAGGCATGGCACTCTGTGTGAACTCTCGAAGGTGTCAAAGCTCATATCTCCCCCCTCCACCTGATCAGAAAGGCCCTGTGCTGGTGCAAAGGAGGGGTGGAGGGTAAAGGAAAGGGAGTGGGTGTGGGGTTAGGGGGGGTGAAGGCTGAGGCAGGAGACTCAAGGCTGTTGGCATGTGTTGTTTTTCCACTACGTGATCTCTATACCGATGTGGTTGGCATTAATTTTTGATGAACCATCGGCACAGCATACTTCCCTCTCGCCCTCTCATCCCTTCTCGACTCATCCCATTCTCTCCCTCCCTCCCTTCCTTCCTCTCTTTCAGTTACAGGCTTTTCACCCACATATGTAAACTTGCTTTCTTATATTCTGCACATCTTTGCTTTGGAGCATCTGTCTCGCCTTCTGGAACCTCTGTATCTTTGTCACAGTAGCTGAGAGGGGTTGAGGGATTTGGGATGAACTTCTCTTTTGTAGTCCCGCTTTTGCTTGTGGAAGCTCAGTAGAGATTTCCATTTTAATCAGCCCTAATGTACTGTATGTAGACTGTCAAACAAGAACTGCTGAGTTTTCATTGTTTAAAATCTGTTGGCGTTTAGCGGCACATCATTTCTGAAACAAACCATTAAGGTCAACATTTACAGAGCGTAGTTCAAAAGCTGCGTTCGGTATTCTTTAACTTGTAAAGCAATGCTACACAGCTTTACCCACCAGAAATAAGTATTGAAAAGGGACGGAGATTGCCATTGGTTAAAAAAAAAACAAACCATATACCCCATAGCATGGGGAGGTATTAGACAACTATAGCGGTTGCCAAGTTACTTACTGTGCAACTGTGCAAACATCATGCACCACCCTTCATTTTATTATATTTGGCTTCCAAGGAGATCCAGACTTTATTGTAGCTTTTTAAATTGCTCTTGAGCAATAGTTCTCCAGACTTTCTGAAGGTCTTTCAAAGTTTTTCTCTGGACACTCCCTGCTTTTTCACTCTATTTCATTCTGGTCTTTGTAAACGATCATTTTCAGTTGAATTGTTTTTGGGGTTTTTTTGTTTGTTAAGCCACTTAACACTGGCCTATGAATCATTCAGGCATCAAAGGATACCTAATTCAGTAGACTAACCAGTTATTGTGTATACACATAACAAAGAACTGTGCAAAGAATCTGTTTTAAATGGTGTCTTTAGGTACTTTGATACTAGCAGGTCATGGTAAAATCACAGAATTTGATCCCATTTATTTAAAAACCCAACAAACAACAACAACCAAATGGAACACAATCTGAAAGGCATCAAATTGTATGTTTGCACTAACAAAGTGATTCCCGAAGAGCTTTTAGCCAAAAACCCAGCCATCCTGTGTGCATCCTTAATAAAATGGAAGAACTGGACAAGTGGACTATTTAGAACTGACAGGCCTAAGAACCATGTACAGCAGATAAACACTGTCTGAAAGTCTTGTCTTTAAGAAATAGAAACAAATTCAGGAAAGACCTGACTGAGGACATGAGTTGAATCAATCTACCAATCTAGTTAAAGCCTGGATAGAAAAGTACACGATGAAACAGAATCGGTCAGAGCTCGGACCTCAGTATTATTATAACTACATAAGCTGATCTTGATGTGCTTCAGGAACCAAGGAGAACTATTTCTGAAGTCTACTTACAGCTCGGCTCAAAAGAATAAAGTTGGTAATGCCAAATATTGACTTTCGAGTTGGTTAATATTGTATAAACTCTGATTTGCGTTATACCTGAACTGTTTTTTACTCCACATTGTAAACATGTTTATGGTGGGCATTTTAACATGGAAACATAAAAACATTCATTCAAACACAAAGACATTTATCGGCTTAAAGAGTTACACAAGTTTTTATTACTCATTTTGTAGCTTTCGATTTTATCACACACAAGTGCAGTTTATTGAGCGGTCATACGGTAATGTTATCAGTGCTTTAATGACCTGTGTGTTGGCTTAAGAGTTGCTACTTAACGTTTATTCAGCAGCAGTTTGATGAAAGTTCATCACTGCTTACAGCCATTTACAGGGATCATTCCTACCACCTATAGAGTTTTATTTTAGGAATATTATGTTGCATAATATGCAAGTATATAGATCTTTGCTTGCTCTTATTGGAGACACTGTCTGAATGTTTCCTGTTGGCAGAGAGGGTGACATAGATGTTGCTGACCAGTGTTGTTTTTGACTGATTTTAATGGAGTTATCATTCACCATTGGAATTTTGAAATGTTTATTGCCAGTAAATGCATCTGAGGCACAGTTTAAGAAGCAGTAATGTTCACTTGGGGAATTATTTTCCTGCCATTGCTTTCAGAGGTAGCAATAGTAGATGTCTTCAAATAGTTTTAAATATATCCAGTAACTGGCACAGAATACACTTCAAACACATTCCTTACAAATAGCATTGTTACAGGCTTTGAGCGGCTTTTTGGTCCAGGGATCAGCAGGCCAAGCAGTGCTTTACAGGAGTGTAGCAAGCAGACTGAGGGATATAAAGAGCAACACATACATTTAACTTTTCTATTAAAGTGTGAAACAGGGGATTTATAGAAAAGGACAGGCGGATTTATCCTTTCCGTGCTTGTAAATGCTGAGCATGCAATTACCCCTATAATAGAGGCGTTGTGTCCAAATTGGAACCATTAAAGTGATTTAACAGTGCGTGGATTGGCCCTGGCATTTGCTAGGATGTGTACACATGGGGTGTAGTGGAATGGGTGTTTAATCACTGCGTTTTAGTGCTCGGTAATAGCAGAGCAGCCCATGTAGAACACTGACGTGCCACAAAGTATAGCTTACTCATTAGGTCCTGTAGTTTGGGTGTTTTTGATTTTTAGCTTGGAAATATTGGTTTGCTTGACTGATTGGTCTCGTTACTGATGCTGAAACTGTAACAACCAGACTACCTTCTTTATGATGTCATGCCATCAAATAACTGAGGTTTAATATGCAGTGCAAAATAAAGATTATTGCAAATTATTGCAGCAAATCATAGCACACTCTAATCTGACTTGTCTGAATAGTTTATTACCTGCTCTGTTTTCTGATGCCGTTCTTAATGAACTGATTTATCTCATGATTGCAATGATTTTTGAGCTGCATTCAAGTCCAAAAGCAGACTGTGTAATTCTCTCTGAACACCTCCACAGAGGTGTATGAAGCAGGTAAGAGGTGGAAATAGCGTAGATCTTTCATTTCATTTCAGTGGATTTGTAGTTGAATTAAAAATTCTGAGCAATTCTGAGACATTTTACTAAATAGTCCTGATATTTTCACAGAATCAAAAGTAATGTGGGGGAAGGCGGGTTGCAAGTACTTGGTTGTAAATCCTTTGCAGTTAATGACTGCTTCAGGTCCAGAACCCATGAATCTCAACAGTTACTGTGTTTCCTCACCTTGGGTGCTCTGCCAGACTTCTGCCTCCTCCAAAAATGTATTTATTTATTTATTTGTTTTCATCTATGCATTTCTGATTTCATCTCCATCGTCGACATTAATTAGTGACCTGGGTACTTTTGCTCATTACCAAAAGCCTCTTCCATCGTGCCAGAAACAAATAGAGAAAATTTCGAACAATTATGTCACTGTCTTTAATGCCCAACTGTGCACTATAAGTCACCACTGACACATAATTATTGTATTAAACTTTATGGCGCATCTTTAGAAAAAACAAACATAAAAACAAATTAAGCAGCTTATTAGGTACACCTTAATAGTTCTGGGTTGCATAAATTCAAGGTGTTGGAAACATTGCTCATAGGTTGTTGGGTTTTTTTGTGTGTTTTTTTTCTTTCTTTTTTTTTCTTTGTTTTTTGTCCACATTGAGATGACAACATCACACAGTTACTGCATATTTGCCAGCTGCACATCTATGAGGTTAATCTCTTGTCCCACCAAATCCTAAAGGTGCTCTATTATGTTGAGATCTTTGTTATATTCAGGAAACCACTTTGAGATGATTTGAACGGTATGATACTGTGTGTTATCTTACTGGAAGCAGCCATCAGAATGGATCTGTGCTTTCATGTTGTTCATGACAAATTCTGTCTAAAAGTTGGACCAAAAACTGAGAGTCATTACAGCGGGCAAAGTTTTTTCACTCTTCTATAGTCCAATTTCGGTGAGCCTGTGTGAATTCCATCCTCAGTTTCCTGTTCTTAGTTGACAGGCATGACACCTGGCACTCCTGACCTCTGACATCAACACTCAACAACACTGACATCAACTGCTGCTCACAGGACATTTTCTTGGGGGAAAATCCCAGCCCATCTGTCACCGGATCAAACCAAACTGTCTTCATATTCACTTAAATCAACTTTCTTCCCCCTTCTGATACTTGGTTTGAACTTCTGCAGTTCATCTTAACCATGTCTACATGCCTAAATGCATTGAGTTACTGCCATGTGATCACTCCATCCTCTATTTCCTTCACTACTTCTCAAATAATCTACAGTTAGGTCCATAAGTGTTTGGATAGCCACACAATTTTTCTAATTTTCCTCTGTACCCCACCAGTGTGGGTTTTATTTCAAACAAATATGCGAGTGAAGGTGCAGCAGTAATTCAAGGAATTTAATAAAAGTAATGCATTAACTGTTTAATAATTACAGCTACTCTTATGGAAGCTGTTTCATGGCCAGGTGATGCCTGTTCCCTTGTTATTTCACTACAAATTAAGAAGATAACATACCTGGAGTTGATTCCAAGTGTTGAGCTAGCATTAGGCAGCCACCCACTGGAACGCTTAACACGAAGTCCAAAGAGATGTTGATGCAAGTAAAGGAGGACATTTTCACCTAGCGAGAAAGGCAAAAAATAGTTAGTCTACAATCAAGAGAACCCTTCATGAATGGAAATACAGAGGGTTTACACCAAGGTCCAAAACAATGGTTATACTCAAGAACATGAAGGCCAAATTAGGCTATACCAGAAAAGATCTAAAGGACTCGCTGCACTGCTCTGGAAAATTACTTAGGAAAGATGAAATCAAGAAGAACTTGTATTAGAATGATGATGAGAAAAAAAGTATAGAGAAAAAGAAAAACATCTCATGATTTGACGCATAGCACATCTGTCAAACATGGTGGACCCAATGTTATGGCACGGGCTTGTGTGGCTGCCAGTAGAACATGGTCACTACTGTTTATTGTTGACATGACAGCTGATCGATGTAGCAGAATGAATCATGAAGTGATCAAGGTCGCACTTTGCTCCGATTAAGCCAAATGCTGCAAAACCGTTTGAATAGTACTTCACAGTGCATATGAATAATGACCCAAAGCATATTGGAACAGTAACCCAAGAGTTTCTAAAACCAAAGGAATGAGATATTCTTCAATGGCCAGGTCTATCAGCGGATCTCAACCCAATAGAGCATGCTTTTCAATTACTGCGGATATAACTGAAGGCAGTGAGACCCACAAATGAGCACCAAGTGAAGGTGGCTGCAGGAAAATACCTGGTAGAGCATCTCAAGGAATGGAATGCAGTATTTGGTGATGTCCATGGATTGTAGACTTCAGGTATTCACTGAATTCAAGTATTAAAGATAACATATTAAAAATGTTATTTTGTACCAATGTGTGGTTTTTTTTGTTTTTGTTTTTTTTAAAGAAAGAAAGAGAGAAAGAAAGAGAAAGAAAGAAAGAAAGAAAGAAAGAAAGAAATTTGATTCCAAAATACTTAATGCAAATAAAATATGTTAAAGCTCTTGAATTAAAGCTGGAAGTCTGCATTTGAGTCACATCATGGCCAATTGACTCAAAATTATCTGTGCTGGTACAAAGGTTGAGTGATTGTCCAAATACTTGTGGACCTTTATGAAGAAAATGTGCAATATTTGTCTGTGCCAACCATGGTGGTCTGAGCTGGATTTGAACTGAACTGGAATTTTTTTTTTTATCTCCTCCATTCCATTTTTCAACCTTTCAACTATTGTGGATGGCATTTAATACATCTTTGCAGCCTCAAAGACATTTACTGGAGCAAAAGAATTCTTCAGAATGAATACGAACCAGCATTCTCAATATTTTGCCTGCATGCGTTTTGCTGTCCCCTTCACCGCTTCTTCTCCCTCCCTCTCCCCCATCTCCACCTATTTTCTTTTTTTTTTTTCTTTTTGCCCCACTCTTTGCTCTGTGTGCGTTGGAGTGGAGCCCCTGTACAGGGATGGCGTCCTGGGGAGAGCTAGTAAAGCATTTATTACAGCCTTTGCAGTTCTGTGTTATACTGGCAAGCACAGAGCCACTCATGCTTGGCCTTTAACTTCTCTCTGAAGTTCAGCCATACATGAAAAGAGGGGGCTCTGGCCCACTAATTTATTCCTGATTTAATATTGTATTTGAAAAAGTGAGGAATGCAGTATAAATGAGGAAAAAAGAAATGGGTGGAATAAAATTGTGTACAAAAATGTAAATGGAGTCTTTTGAGAGGGGTTTTTTTTTCCTCCCCCGCTAGTAGTTTGCTGATTAAATATCACGTGGTGACACTGGCAATGCCCAGCAGAGCTTTTGAACCTAGGATCTGTGAAGAATCGTTTTCGAGGCTTTGTGCGAGGGCTGTCTACCATAACTTCCTCTTAAGTAACAATATAGGGATGAGTGAACAGGAAGCGGGACTACTTTTTCACCACTACATTCATTTACTCACCAACTGCTCTGATATTAACTTTGTTGGGCACGGGGTGTAAGTGGAAAATCTCCCTCTATAAAAGAGGGAAAGAGCGAGGCGAATTAGCCCAACTCTCCATCTTAAATTTTTTTTTTTCCCTTCCGCTTTTTTTTTTTTTTCTCTCCCTTGAAAGATCTCCCCCCTTTTTTCTCATCACTCCTCTTTAATCGCAACCTCATTGGCGGGTCGTACTCTTTTTAGGTCAGGGATTTTTTTTTCGTGTGTTTGTTTGGTGACATTTCTGTGGTATTTAATTGGCGTATTCACCATATGGACGGGGACAATGGGAAGGACATCAGGCACACCCTGATTTTTGATTTCTCTCTTCCGCCTCTTCTTTCTTTTGGGTGTGTTTGTCCGTTGTGTTCGTCCTGGTCGAAGGAGAGACCCTCCTCCACAGAGCTTGCAAGAGGAACCAAGTGGAAACGGTGCTTCAGATCTTGGTGCTTCCTGGCATAGACATCAATGTTAAAGGTAAGACTTCTCTCACTTTCCCTTTTTTCCATAACCTCTATCTCACTGTCGTCTCACTTCACTCCCACTGTTTGCTCTGGGGTTTTGGAGAGCGATTAACACTGGAGGAAAAAAAAAAAAGGGGGAGAGAAGAAATAGGAGTGTGTGCGCGTCATCATCATTGCCTTTAACCTTTAGCTAAAATGTAAAGGGTGTGTCTAGTAAGAGCAGGATGGGTTTGGAGTGTCAGATTTATAGATTTATGGCCACTTTGCTAAGTGAATTGAATCCCTTTTGATATTTCAGAGTGACTTTCTTTAGTCCCTTTAGGTCAAATATAATGACTTGCCCTCCTTTTATGGAAATGTGCCGTTTTCAAAGGTTTCTCTGATTTTGTAATCACCCCTTAATAGTAGACTAAATTGACTTGCATCTTGGTGGGGGTTATGGGGGATTCTTAAGTCTAAAATGCGATCAAGTAGAACTACGGGGCAAAATGGTAAAATAACTGCTGCCACATTACAGATTTCTCCAAAAAAGGCCTGATGCTAATTGAGTCAGAGCATGTTTGGTTTTCAGAGGATTTTCTTTTCTCAACTACAGCAGATTATCTGTCTGTCATTTTTTTTATTTTTACTTTTTTATTATCAGTCTTTAGAATGTGTCTGTCTTTCTGTGTTTTAATCCTGGATTAAAACATGAAAAGATGCTGCAACGATTTTAATGTTTCTTTAAAACATTATTTTTTTTACTCTTGATTTGTAGCTGTGTATTATCATAGCCTATGCGTTGTGAGCATTTATGATGTTTGAATGCTCTGCTTCCATTGCATTGCTTTATATTTACACTTCTAAAACATTAGTTGTCATTTGTGTTTCAGGCATATTGCATGTATCCTGCCATTATGTGTAGATGATGTGTATGTGCAGAGCTGATCTACCAGAGCCATTTCACTTCCTATTAGTTTGGCCCATTGTACAAAAGTTATTAGATAGTATTGTCCTAGCATGTGCTGATTGATTGACACGTCGAGTGACAATACGTCTTGCAACCAATAACTAGACAACAGAAGCATTACTAGACCAAAACAGAAACTTGTGTGTATAAGCAACAGGTGAATGAAGGTTGAAATCATAATGGTGCATGCCTTAAACTTGATCTTGGCATGCATAATAGCAACATAAAAGTATTTTACCACATGCAAAACAAATAAACATACACAAACAAACAAAGAAAAGAAATTAAAAATTTGGAATTATGGAGTATAGATTCATTTGAGCCCAGAGCCCAGAGAGTGTTTCACAGGTTGTTTGGTGAGGTGAACAACAGGTGGATATTCTAAACTGTGATTAACATTGCTTCCCCATTTCATTTGACTTTCATTTTGAGTCAGCATTGTTTGTGCCTCTGTTTCCGGTTTGTTGATCACATAGACCATGCAGGCTGGACACCTCTGCACGAGGCATGCAACCACGGCAGCACCGAGTGTGTGGAAGCTTTGCTGCACCACCACCCTTCCCCTGTGCTTAATAATCAGGTGGATGGAGTGAGTCCACTGCACGATGCCCTGCTAAATGGACACATGGACATTGCCAAAATGCTGCTGGAACATGCAGGCAAGTAAACTCTTGCAGTACATGCACAGACTGACTGCTTCAGCGTATAAGCTTTTAACATTCTGTTGGCGGGAACTTATGCAATATAACAAATGTTGGCTTTATAATAATTAAACAATACTCAAATGTTCTCCAAGTAAGGTTGGTCACACATTGATAGTTTGGTGAATGGTTCTCAAACTCTGTGGCGCAAACAACAAATTGAAAAGACGAAGTTAAACCAACTCAAATGACCACCATTTGATGCAGGGTTGAACAAACAATACTAATATTGCATAGAGTTGGCGCGTCTATGTCTTTCTCTATGTAGCCACAATAGCTCGAAAGCTTTTGCGTGAATTCTGATAAAATCCTGTATGGCTGTAGAATGGGATCATGTTAACAATCCATTACATCCACGTCTTCAAAGTCCACTTAGTGATCCATTGGTCGGAAACTGACAAAGAGCCTCATAACTTCACTTCAAACTATGATTCTTACAAGTGTGTCAAAATATAGAAATGACCAGAGAAAGATCAGTGGGAGAAACATTTCATCACTCATCCAAGTCTTCAAT